TTTTTTAAATGTCAAATAATGTAAAAAAAAAAAAAACCTTTTTTTTTTTTTTACAATAAGCTAGCATTTAAATAGTAGCATTATTTCAACCATGGAGGTTATCTTGCATTGAACAATGGAGGTTTGGGTTCTAATTTGTTTTTTTGCATATCTGTATGCATGTGTACCTAGATATATGCTCGGAGCCCATGGTGGTCTCACGGTGGAATTAGATGCCCTGCAGCTGGAGTTACAGACAGCTGTGTCTCCATATGGATGCTGAGAATTGAACTGGTTTCCCTGCGAGGACTCTTAACAGAAAGCAAGCCATCTCTCTAGTCCCCAATGGAGACTTTAAAACAAAACACATCATTCGTTGTCTTCTCTTGACATTATATAGATAAATTTGTCCCCAAATTAGATCACTAGCTTCCTCTGAAGAGACCTTATTTTGCTTGCTTTTTGTAGGCTCCTCCAGTGTTTAATATGGAGCCCAACATATAAAACCTAGATGATAGGTATTCATTCCATATAAATCAAGAGACCTTTGACTCTCTGGTTCTATGGAGAGCTTTTTTTTTTTAAATATAGATTATACACTTTTTTTCTATTTCAGAAGTTTTGAGAATATAATATAAGCTGTGGCTTTTCTTCCCTCCCAACACAGTATTTTAAAGACGGATTTATGCAAACTTCAACTCCTACCTGTCTTGTTTGCTAGTACTCTTGGTCCTACATTGCTTTCCTCCCTTCAATGAGTGTCATTAGTATCATCAAAATCCTGGACAAAATGACACACTGTAGGCAGAGAGTAAGAAAGCAGAGTTCCCAGTACACACGAGTCTGTCAGACTAATTCACCAGGGAAGCAATTGCCACCCCTCGGTTTTCAGTATGGGTTTACAAGAGCTTTATGGAAAAGCAGTATAAGTTACTACTTTGTAGCATCTATGAGTTATTGTTAAACAATCATAATATGAACATTAAACCTACTCTTGCAAGAATTGTTATAAATTAATAATATTTGATGATTTATTAATTAGTCTGGGACATAGGAAAAAGCAAAGAAAGCAACATTTCAGTATTTTAGACAGGCAAATAAAAGAGGAAACAAATAACAAAACAATCATTAATGGAGGCTTCAGTATCTGGCAACATCCAGTTTTCAGGAGATTCAGGTCCTGCCCCAGCCAGACATTCCAGTTCTCTCAAAGTTGATCAGAGGAGATGGCGCCTTACCCATGCTTGGTCCTGTTAGAGTCACATGTCTCTTACATATAGATTTATGCATTGAATGCAAACAAAACAACGAGAAAATTGTCTGAGATTAGCATAGAGATGTTTGAGTCTGAGCTTCTGTATTTGGCTATCTGCAGACAGATCTGAGTTTCCATGTGCCAACATTTTCCGCTAGAGCACAGATAAGCTTGAGCTGGTATTGGTTACCTGCACTCGGAAGAGTTTTGTTTAACACATACTCTGTCAAAATTGGAAAAAGCAGCTCTAATTCAGTCTCGGGGGGAGACTGGTAGGGCAGTCTCCAAATGTTTTGAGTAGCGGAACACTAGATGGATGCATTAAAATGTGTCTCTTCTTTGTCTTTCACAGAGAAAGCCCTAGAGCCTGTCAATGTGACACCCATTTGCTGAAGTCAGTTTCTTGCCAGCTTGTTTGTCTCTGCTTCCACTGAATCTGCCCTCCCATGTTATTGCCTGTATTAGCTGGCAGTTATGAAGATTGACAGATCGTATCATCCCTGTCCCTCTCTAGACAGAATTTATAACTGACACTTCATTTTTGTGTGGGATAGTCATACATAACATTAATAAGTTTTCTGAGTTGCCAGCTGCCATTCATCCAGTGTAAATAGAACACATTTTGTTTTGTAGCTATTAATGGTTGTCCTGGTTAGTTCTTGTTGTCAGCTAGACACAAATTCAAGTCACCAAAGCAGAAGGAACTTCAACTGAAGAACTGCCTCGATAAGATTGGCCTGTTTCTCTGTGAGTTTGAGGCCAGCCTGGTCTATAAGAACAAGTTCCAGAACAGTCTTCAAAGCTACAGAGAAACCCTGTCTCAAAAAAAAACCGAAAAAAAAAAGATTGGCCTGTAACTAAGTCTGTAAGAGATTATCTTGACTGATGGTTGGTGTGGGAAGGCTCAGTCCAATTTGGGCAACACCTTTCCCAGACAGTTAATTTGGGTCGTAGAAGTGAGCTAGGTGACGGTAAGCCAGTGAATGAGCCAGAGTCCTTCTATGGTTTCTTCTTCTGTTTTTGGTTTAGTTCATACCATGACCTTTTTTAGTGATAGATTGTCACCTGGAAGTATAACTTAGCCATGTTTTTCCTAAGTTGCTTTTGGTCAGAGTATTATAGCACAGAAAACACAGTAGTAGCTAGATAACAGCTTAAATTTCTTTGGCATGGATATGTAAAACTACTCTGAGTGTTCTAATTGATTTCACAAATAACAATTTCTGTGGTTATGAAGCTTTACCTTAACTCTGTAATTGTTGGTATTTTATTATATGTGATGGGTGAATTTTTTACTGGGCTGAGAATGTTTTTAATTTTTTACTGGTGTGAAAATTGTGGGGTTTTGTTATGAATAGCATTGAGTTTCAGCTTTGTTCTTCTTGTCCTTTCTCTGCTCCTGCTCCCTTCAACCTCCGTCTCTTTATTTGTCTCAAATATAGTCCCCCTTCTGCTTTCACATTATTTGATCCTGTAGCCTCCTTCCCTCCCTCCTTCCCTCCCTCCTTCCCTCCCTCCTTCCCTCCCTCCTTCCCTCCTTCCTTCCCTCCCTCCCTTCTCTCTCTCTCTCTCTCTCTCTCTCTCTCTTTCTCTCTCTCTTTCTGTGTCTGGATTCTGTAGCTGAGAGAAAAAATATGTTTTCTGATGAAGTTGGCTTGTTTCACTTGCCATGACGATCTCTAGTTATAGATGAGTTCTTTACAATTTCCTATAAACATTTTTCTTTATCACAAAAATTGAAGGTATTTATACATAGTGATTCATCTCTTTAATCAAAAAGCTATAGAGTTTGGCAAACTATTTTTGACAGGAAAAATTATAAATATGATATATTGTATACATATTATATGTTGCAGCCAAAGAAAATAGCATATAAAATTTGTGAAATTCTTTGAATATTCTTTATTTTCAAAGAATTTAACATTGTTGTTTAATATTTTCATTGAGGAAAAATATTGATCAGATAAACATCATTCTTTGTCTTGAGTCATAATGTGTTAACTATACTGACATGGAGTTGGATTTCTCCTCAAGCCCACCTTTTCTTCCTCCGAACAGTGACTTAGAGAGTAGAAGCCTTTCTGTATTGGAAGCAGTGTCTTAGCTTTGCTCACAGTTTGCCTGTGAGTGGAGCATAGATTTCTTCACACTCACATGTAAAGATGCGTACTCTCCTGGATCTTGAGACGTCTCAAATGACAGGAACGCTAGCATGAACACATGATCAGTGAATGGTACATTGATTTCCTCAGTGGCTTTTGGTCAGAGTATTATAGCACAGAAAACACAGTAGTAGCTAGATAACAGCTTAAATTTCTTTGGCATGATATGTAAAAATACTCTGAGTGTTCTAATTGATTTCACAAATAACAAAATTGACTTGTGGGGGTGCACATGTGTGTGGAGGTGCATGTGCACGTGTGTGTGTGTGTGTGTGTGTGTGTGTGTGTGTGTATGTGTGTGTGTGTGTGAGAGAGAGAGAGAGAGTAGAGGCGAGAAGACAATGTAAGGTGTCCTGGTTCCACTGCCACCCATCTTTTTAAAGAGTCTTTGGCTGGCCTGAACCTACCACTGAGGCTCGGCTGACTGGCCTAGAGCCCCGATGATCCATTTGTCTCTGCCTCCCCAGGGCTGGGTTTATAAATGTGCACCACAGACTACACTTAAAGTTTTCTGTTTGCACATGACTTTTAGATCATCTAAACTCTCATTTCCTGAACCTTAGTTGGGGAGCATCTCACATTTTGCAGATGAGAAATTCAGTGGACATTGTCCCCAATATGTCATGTGTTGTAACTATGCAGTGTTTCTCAACCTTCCTAATGCTGCAGCCCTTTAATATAGTTCCCATGTTGTGGTGACCCCCTAACAACCAAACAATTATTTTCATTGCCACTTCATAACTGTAATTTTGCTATGGTTATGAACTGTAATGTAATATCTGATATACAGGATGTTTGAAATGTGATCCTCAAAGGGGTCACAACCCATAGGTTGAGAATCGTTGTACTAGGGTCTCTTAGTCATCACCAATAGAAAGTGACTCTGGATGACAAGAAGAAAGAAAATTTAGTGGCTCATAGAATTAAAGCTCAAAGAATAAATGAACCTATATAGCAATATAGGAACTAGGTGATATTGGTAGTTCTTTTCATCTCAGTAATTTTCCCTATGTTGACATACAGTATAAAAACTAGGCATTGGGAGTAGTGATGTCTGCTCTATTTTGCTCTCATAATTCAAAATAGGAAGGGAATTGTATTGATTATTTGCACACAATTTCTGGAGAGGACACCGTGGGATGACTTGGTTCTGCCAGAAACCCTTGATGTGGTCATCCTTCCTCAGAACAGTACCTGTGGGTGAGGTTGAATTGTGTGGCCGCTCGGTGTGAAGCAGGCGGGCGAGGCGATTGGCAGTTCTGTGAGGCTGAGTGAGACCTCTGGCAATGAAAGTAAGAAGTGCAGGGACAAGCTGAGACCGGCTTGTGCCGGTGGTAGTGGTGGTTATGATGTTTGATAGGAAATGGGGTAGATAACATGGAAAATGTATTGTAGACTGGGTGCTCTGTCTCTGGATCTACTGGAGGGAGAGACAGACAGACAGAGACACAGAGATGAGAAAGACAGAGACAGAGAGACAGCACACCTCTCCGATCATTTTATCTGCTGGGCTGGCTACCGATGTGTCTCACCTCTGGCACAGTCAGAGTTTTTGTAAATTGGAGTCCTTTTCAGTTCACGACTTCTCTCTTAATGCCTTCTAGGTGGACAAAAAGATTGTCAGAACTGAGATAGGAGTTCTGCTGCGCCTGTCACACCCGAACATCGTAAGTGGCTCCTAGCTTACAATTCAAAAATCATGTCTAAGGCTGTAGAATGGGATCGTTGTTATGGGGAAGAGGGGTTCTTCCTCTGTCAGACAGTACGGCCTAGCTCATGGCTGTACCTCACACACACAATCAGTTTTGGACTAGATGGACTAACAATGCATAGCACGCCTCCTTTCACGCATGAAAGGAGAAAAATTGGAGAGTTTTATTTTGCTCTGGTGAAGCACTGGCTTTCTCCCTCTTTTGTTTGCTTATCTCTTTAATGTGCCGCGGCCGATAGAGCCCAAGAAGGAGAAGGCATTGCTTTCCAAAGTCATTTCCGCCTTTGAGAGAGTATCTGCTTCAGAAATAATGCAAAGATGCAAATAGATGATGTGACTGAATAGGAGGACTGAGTGGTTCCCAGACACTCTGCTGTGCTCTGTGTTCAGACGACACTGAGAAAAATGCCCAGTGCAAAGCTTTCCGGATCAACGGAGTGAAAAAGAACAAAATCATCTTCGTAGCAGCAACTTGATTTTGCAAAATGAAGCCATCTACCTATTTTTTTAAGCCTATTTGTATGAGAAAGTTATGTCTGGGCTGATGACCTGTAATGCTCAAAGCAAAGTGCATACAACTTGATATGTGAGTTAAAGGGACACTTCGCTACACACCATTAATGAGTAAGAAGGTGGACCGTAGGCCATGGTCCAGGACCCAGGCTTCACACGTCCCTGTGTTTGCCATTTTCTATGCCCTGGTGCATTGCTTTCTCACTTGTCTTCACAGCCCCGTAATGACAGGTCCACATTTTCATAAGTTCCCTGGTTGATATTTAAGGGGAAAATTGGAAGGGCCTCGTCAGCTGAGGGCTCTCAGAAGCTTCTGCAGTGGCGCTTTCGTCAACCGTCGCTGGCCAGAGCTTCCTACAGATGCTCTCCAACTACACGCAGGCTTGCTGATCAGAGAACAGGGCTGTCCCAAGTGGCTTAGGCCATTGTTGTCCACAGTGTGGGACAGCACTAGAGTTCAGTGTGCAGTGAAGTCCAGGGTGACTTAGAGTGAGCAATTCTCAAGCATGATATAGTCAACCATCACTTGCACGTTTCCCGTGCCTCTTCTGCCTCCTCTTTTCTAAGGAAATCAGTGTGCAGCGTTCTTCACGTGTAGGTCAGCACTGGCCTCCAGATCCCCCGATGTCTGGAGAAAGGTCCACATTTGGTTGGATTATCTGAATCTCTACCACCTCTCTTTCCAGCGACCCATCACAAACAAGCGGCTTTAACTGCTGAAGAGTACTTTCCCAAGACCTGACCCAGCTTGTCTCGCCACACCCTAAGTTCAAATCCATTGTTTCCAGGAGAAAGCCTTGCTTGTCTCTAGCATCCATGATGTTTCCAAACAGTTTTGTAAAGTTGGGTCTTGTTTTTGAGTCTAAAAAAAAAAAAAAAAAAAAAAAAAACAACAACAACAAAAAAAAAAAAAACATTAACCCTGCAACATTTGAGTAAATTTTGGGAGTGTTTTTAAAGGATTTTTTTTTTCAAAATGAAAAAAAAGTCAAAACTGAATGGGAATTTTGAAAAACCTGAGGTAACTGACAAAGCCAGCATCTGAGAAAGAGAGGGTCCTGATGGCCTCATGAGAGTCTTCCTAATGGGAGCATGCGGGACTTTCACTGACCTGACCCTGCCCACTGCTGATGCAAGCTATTGCCTTGTCCATAACTTTAGCCATCTTTAAGGAAGATGGGGATGAGCAGTTGTTGATGTTCTTTCTTGATGTATGTGTTTCCCTCAGATAAAACTTAAGGAAATATTTGAAACGCCCATGGAAATCAGTCTGGTCCTTGAGCTCGTCACGGGAGGAGAGCTGTTTGACAGGTGAGTTGGGTCTAGCGGGTAAACAACCAAAATGTTTGCTCAATGTCACCAAAAAATCTTGGAAAGGAAAAAAATCTCCTAAAAAATTTCATAATAAAAGAATTATGTGAACTGATATATTTTCTTAAACTAAATCTTGAAAAAATTGTGGAAGCAAGATGAACAGTGTTTGGTAAGACATACAGGTAAGTAATTTTAAAAAGAAGTATGTAATATCTATTTACCTTCACAAACTATTATGTTAAAAAGTAGAATTTTCTAAAATCACATTCTATTTTAGTTAAATAGTAATATTTATGAGATTGTTTTTATGAGAACATACTTAAAATGGTGTTCTCACTATAACCCAAACATTCATGAAGTCAGTATTCTTTAAGTGATTATCTTTAACCTTCCCTCTCCAGTGTCCGAGTCTTTGTCAACAGATCCATGGTGCAGGGTAAAGCATGGTATGCTCTGGCCCGTGGTTGCCAGTTTCAGGGATTTGCTTGCAGCTCATCACTCAAAGATGCTTGAGAATGGAGACAAGAGGATACCCCAAAATCTGGAAGAGCAGCTATGGGTCAAAACAGCCCTAGGCTTCCATGGTTGTCCCTCTCCCTGTCCACTCAGGAGAATTATGGTTGGGCCTAGGGGATCCTTTGCTGTGTTCATCAGGGTATTCAACCAAGAATGAGAGTGAAGATAGCAATATGAACCAATATTCATCATTCGTAGAAAGGACGAGAAGCTGACGTAAGGGTCTTGGTAAAGAATCAGGTGTGAGAGATAACTGGATAAGGAAGCCAGAAGACTGTGTCTGGATCCTGTCAGAAGGGCTGTCAGTCTTTCCAGAATGGCCAAGCAATGGTAACAGTGAGTGGACTCTGAGAAGAAAGCATCAAAAGGGATTGGTTTTGCTTGTTGAAAGAGAAACACTAATCCTGACTCCCATGATGGCCTTGGATGGTTGTGTTGATCTCAGATTTGCATATTGAAACCCTAACTCCCAAGTCAGTGGATCAGAGGTAGCTCATCTGGGCAGAGATGAGTCCTGAGGGAGCCTCTATGGGTGGGATTGGTGGCCTTATGAGGGAAGCCCAAAAGGTGTGCCCACTCTTTCCTCCAGGAGATAATGAAAGGGCTGTGTCTCTAATAAAGCCACCCTCGGAAAGAATCAATCTGCCAGTGTCCTGGTCACGCACGTCCTAACCTCCAGATCAATGAAAAATAAATGTCTATTGATTATAAGACTTAAACAGTTGATCACTCTGTAACAGCCAGATAAACCGAGTGAGACAAGCGGGTAGACTTTAGAACTGTGACTTTTTGACTATTTTAATAATAAGTAAGGATGTGGGCATGCGTGAGTATCCTGGTGGTGGTTGACGACAGACTCACGGTTCCGAATTGATCTCTGCCCCTCAGAGTAGGCTAATCTGAGTACTGTGCTTAGTCTCCATGAGCCTTGGAGCACATTTGAAGCTGTCCTGCGCTTCTTAGGATGTATCTTACTCTAAAGTCATCTTGTTCCCATGTGCTTAGACAGCCTTTCTCTGGGGTGTTACCAGTATGTATTTATAATGGCTCCTCTAGTAACACCACTTTAACATATTTTTATGATATGGCTTTCGTCCGGGTAGAGTAATATATTTCTAGTTAAGATCCTGCTGGCTGTGGAGCTGTGAGAGCTCTCTAAGGAGATCTTGCCTATTTCTCAGCTAATTATGGTCTATTAGATAGAAATCTCGTGCTCTTTAGTTATAAATAGCCGCAGATGAGAGCCCCACTTGGAAGTTACCTCTTCCCAGCAGTTCTTACCCTGGCCTGCCTCTTCTCTTCATTTGAATTCACTGTAATCCAGCGCCTCTCCTTCCCTTTGCATGAAGTGTCTGTGAGAGAATTTGCCATGAAATTTAATTCAGCTCTAGGAAGAAAACAGTAAGAATGACAATGGTGTTGATAAATTCCATCTGTGGGAATAAATGAAGTGCTCCCGTTTCCTAGACGGCTGACAGCCAATAAAGTGCCCACCACCGTGCCCGGTCCCAGGGACTTTAAGACATGATTTGCCATGCGTGTTGTTCACATTATCGGCATGGCTGACATCATCAGGCTTCTCAATTATGCTCTTAACTCACAGTGATTCTTAACTTTGACCAAGTTGAAGTCAATTCTGCATTTTTAATTAATCCACTGACTTTTCTTGAGAGCTAAGAAAATCCTAATACTGTTTGTTTCTGTGAACTTAGGCCAAGCTCTAAGTTACTGAGTGGCAATGATGAGAATTCATTCCTGGTCTAGAGATGGCTCTAATGGGAACTAGTAAGTGAAGTCAGAGCATAGGTGGAGGGGTAATTGCATTAGTCCATTAGAGTCAAGGTGGTTGTGTTTATTAGCAAATGATCTATTCTGTGGTACCTATAAAAAAAATAAACAGTCAAAGCATGGTAGGATCTGCATTTCATGTTGAATTTACATAAAAATACACAGGATAAATGGTGTAGGATTTTAAAATAAAATCAATGCTTTTTCTGTCTTAGAAAAGTCATATAACCTGCATATATGCATTTTATATAGAAATCTACTTATTTTTGACATAGCAGGAAAAAGAACGGTCCCAGAGTTCAGTTCTTCTTAATCCTATCTCAGCTCTTAAAACCTTAGCGTCTGTCTCAGCAGCTTTCTAGTAGAGCAAACTCTGGTGCTTTCGGGTAAGTTTTCCATTTTTTTCCCCCAGGAAATGATAGTATCTTACCTCACAGCCAACCCGGCACAATCTTCGGACTTCTAATTAAACGTTTTTGTTGTTGTTGTTGTTTTTTTTTTTTCTCCACTTTGTCTTAAAACTTGAAATACCCGAATTCCTTGTAAATCCCTTTGTCCTGGCTTATTTTTTAGAAGGTTTTGCTCACCAATGCCGAATACTTTATAGAGAGATTTTTAGAGTATAAAGCTTTGAATGTTGACTCCTCTAAGACAGCAGGTTTTCTTTAGTTTTGACGTTAAAAAAAAGTTTAGTGTGAGCAGACACTGGGCTATTGGGCTGATTCAATGGTGGCCTCCTGAAGGCCCTTCTGTTTTATGCCAGGGAACCATAGAGTCTTTAAAGGTCTACTTATTGGCAGTACAGGATCAGTATTTAGAGTACGGTTAGAGAGTGCATTGGTTTAGGAAAATGGCAGTAGAAGGTTTTCCTCTTGGGTCTGTGTCCTCTCCAGCCACCGGTAGTTAGGTAAGTCTGATGTTTTAGCTTGTTTCATTTTCTTGCCTGGAGCCTGCCTAACCACTATTTCTGACCACAGACATTCCGATGAATACTAGTGTGTTGTGTTTTCCTCTTATGAAAACTTAACTTCCAGGGGAAAGCAGAATGAAAAGGAGTCCGTTTGCTGTGTAGATATCTCCATATCAAATTACTAAAGATGTTTTTGGTTGTGAACCTAACCTTTAATGGCCGAGTCTGTCTATAATTCCTATGATAGATGGTCTTGAATTTGGCAGCCATATGTTCTTTCAGAGGGCTTGGTTTCTGTGTGTCAATTCACAGTCTTTCTTAAGAAATTCAGTCTCACGCCATGGCAAGAGAAGGAACTACAGTTGATTTTCCATGTGGAAAATTCAAGTAAATCACTCTGGGCTGGTCTTGCATAAAGCGGTCTTTGAGCCCGTTCACTCTTCAGGCTTTGTGGGGCTTTTTCTTTTTCCAGGGACATGAGCTAAAGAAAATATTAGTGAGTTTCAAACCCATGCTTATTTTATGTCTCTGACTCTGAATTTATTTTTCTGTTCTTTCTATAACTTAAAATGTCCTTTTAGTAATCATGAAGGGTCCATAACCAAGGGAAAGGGTGAGTATATTCCATGCACTTAGTCTGTGAATTGCATCAATTACCTGGTCAAGACGAGTGGATCCATCTACCTAACATTCCAAGACTTTTAACCGATACAGCTGAGACTGAGTTTTCAGGAAACTGTCACTAACAAAGATTCCATAAGTAAGGACTACTTCTTACCCTGTTTCTTCAGGGTGGTGTCATGGTTGATAATGACATTAACAAAATTCAGAAAAGTCTGTACCATGAAACTTGTGCTAAAATTCGTCATGAATTTAATCCTCTGAAGTGAAGATCCACTGTATCTGATTGTCTATAAAGGATAATTAGTCACCAGATCCTGGCCACCTTCAGGGCAGTCTGCATAGCATTTCACCAGGATGGTTCGCTTGCTCTTCAAAGCAACACATGCACAGAGTAGGTCTTCTTATATACATTTTACAGAACAAATAACTGGGGATCGTAGGAACCCATTCACTTCTGTCAAATCATCTACTTCAGAGATCTATAACAAAGAAGACTGGACCCAAGCCTGCCATCTCCCAAAGCATGTGATTATTCTTTTATGTCTGTTCTATTGTGTTATGCTCTATGTAAGCCAGGGTCAGTAGTCCTACTCCAAAATAGAACCTCAGACTAGTTTTATAACATTATTTCTACCTCCAGCTCTTTGTCTGTGGCTATGATAGAGTACAAAAAAGGACTTATTATGCTACAGTTGAAGGGTAGGGTAAATCAGGGCCAGGACAGTCCAGGCAGCAAGAGCCTGAAACAGCTTTTCCGACCACATTGTGTCTACAGTCAAGGGGCAGAGAGTGGGTGCTGCTGTGTGGTCCTCTCCATGTACACATTCCAGGATCTCAGCCGGGAATGATGCCACCAACAGTGGCTGCATATTCCCATTTCAGTGAATTCCATCAAGATAATCCCACACGTATGCCCAGAGGTCTGTCTCCCGGGGCAGTCTAGATTCTATCAAGGTGACAGTTGTTACTAGGCATCGTATTATCCTACTGGAATATTAGGTTAATCAGAGAATTAATAGCCATATACCTGTTTTTGAAGTAATAAGGGCAGCGGCGGGGCTGCGTCCCCAACACCCCAGCCGCCTGCCCGGCTAGCTTATGCCCCAAAATAATTACACGGACACTGTATTCTTTTAAACACCGCTTGGCCCATTTCTAT